AACGGAGGCCTTCTCGCCATCTAATCATTACATTAATATTTTTTTTACAAATATAAATACTATCTTAGAAAATATCATATTTTTAATAATATGATTTAACTAAGAGCACCACAATACATTGAGTCTAATTTTAAATATGTAGCGTATAAATAGACTTAAGTCCTAAATAACATGAACAAATTCAAGTAAAAAAACTCAAAAACTATTCAATGCAAAAATAAAATATTAGGTCTAGCATATATGTCAACCAATAAAAATGCTCTAATATGTTTTCTTTATTAAAAAAAATTAAATTAAAAATAAATAATGAGTGTTTGAGTTTGTACTTACTCACCCGACTATGAGTAACGCTAAACTCACTCAAAAATTCGTGTCAACTGTCAAATTTAATATGCCCATTGTATGTTGGTCCATAATAAAGGTTTTGCGATTTTATTTTTATTTAGACTTCAACCTTCACATAAATGAAAGCAAATTTATAAAAATAGGAAATAACAAATATAGAAAGTAAGATGTTAGAAAAGAGTGAAAATATTTTTTTATACCTTAATATCATCTCTTATCACTTTTCATATCTTATTTTTTCACTTAATCATGTTACATATTCTATGTTTGGACCTGTTACAGCGGGTGAAAAGATCTGTCATATGAGAAAATTCACTTTTAGTACTCGAAGTATACCACCTTTTCACTTTGGGTACTCAAGGTTCGAACTTAATTAGTTTTGGTCACTAAAATTTCAAAATTAATCGTATTGGTCAAACATTACAAAACAGTTGAAATTGACGGTCACAACCCGCAGTCACCGCCTCCGATAGTGAATTTTAATAAATTATATATCATTTTTTAAGTTCTCGACTATGCCTATCCAATGATACCTTTTATTTTATTATTTGATATCTTGATATTCGTCAAAATTATTGTTAAAAGTTCCAAAAAAATTGGCAAATTTGTGCCTCAAAAATAAATAATGTGTATTTTATAAGTGTTGTATTAGTATATTGTAATTGCCTCACCGGTGGACTAGTTACCAATCCAACCATGATAGAAAAAAACACTCGTGTGTAATATATGAATGTTACTAATAAAACAATATTTCTTTATTTGTGTGTTTTAAATGGAAACAAAAATTTGACTTTAAAAGGACATATATTATTTTACATAGATAATAATATAGCAAATTAAAAATTTGAAAAATAATTAATTTGATATATTATACCTTAGGGGCGGACCTAGGGAAGGGCATGTAGGGACACATGCTCCTGTAGAAAAAAATAAAAATAAAATAGTGCATATAATACTGCATATACACTTCTATTGTAAAAAGATACGTTAAGTTGTTTATTAAGTAAACTGTTTATTTTCTCCAAATATTGTATATAATTAACTCTTAAATAAAAAGGTGGCAACTCTTCTAAGAATGGAAATATCATATTAATTCTTTTACAATTCCATATTTGAGCAGATTTTGAATTTCTACTCAAATTGTGTTGTATCTATTGATAAATTATATTTTAAATTTATGTAATCCTCTACTGTATTTAAGAATTAAAAAAAATGTGATCTTTAGAGCTTTCACAACTTTGATGTGGACTCAACTTAATTAAGATTTCTAAACTCTTGTTATTGTTTTTTTAACTCTTGTTTGGTTTTGATACATATTTTATTTTAGGCGTTCTTAAAAGTATAAATATAAATTAGCTACTAAATTGTATTTGTCATTGATTTTTCTATTAAAAGGATTTATAATTTTTGTGAAGAAATATTATAAATAGAAGTCCACCAATGCTGACACTGAAAGAAATATCCCGTGCAAAAAATAAATGTTGATATTTGAGAAATATTTATTTAATAAGATTAGTAATAATGTGATTATGGAGGATACAATATATGAGAACATGTGGAGAATGATTATCATTTTTATTTTTATAATTTTTAATGTGTTAAAATTATGTTTGTTCTCCTTTAGTTTCGCGAGTCTACATCCGCCCCTGTTATACCTTATATTAAATAAACTAACTATTGAACTTTATTTGAAGTGGTTGCCAGAGCAGCATGGAGAGATTGACAAGAGTTTTCATCCCTTTCCAAGAGCATGAACTAGAGGATATTTGCAGTAGGCTAGGTCCTGGTGGTTCAGTGGCTTCTTCAGATGTCTTCCCCAATTCAAGTGGTTGGTTTGGTGCTACTTTGCTCTTCTAGTAGACTTTCAAATATTATTCTAGTTTTGGTGCTACTTTGTTGTTCCAATAGACTTTCAAATATTATTCTATTGACCATGTATTTTTTCTGTTATTTGCTCCCTTGGTTTCAGCTTGTTTAGGCTACTTTGGGAGTCATTTGGGATTTGGTTAATTTTATTCTAGGCCACCTGCGAGTGGTCCTCTGCTGTATATATTGTCTTGTGGAGTTAGTGTACTCCCCGGCCTGTAAACTCTGTTTTGCTTTGGTTGAATGCATCTAATGTTTTGGAAAATAAAAAGCTAAACGATTATGAATTTTTAGAAGGGATTTTAAAAAAAAACCTAAACAATTATGAATTTGTAGGAGAGATTAGAGTGCTCAAAATTCCTATGTTGTGTATCCTTCCCCAACATTACTTTCTCATTACTCCATTAAATTGAAGTAAATTGATAAGTTAATAGTTCATATGTCTGATAAATCGAGTACGGAGACGTGTAGAAATGATTAGAGAAGATGAAACAACCATTGTTGTCTGAAACGTAGAGCAAGATTTTTTTTTTTTTTTTCCTTTTTTGTTATTATTATATCAAGAGATGGGGATAAGTGATTTCTTCAACAGGGAGACCGTGATTGATTGGACGTGCTTTCACTATGAAGGACTTTGAGGAGACTATGATTGGGTGTGTTTTGATTGTGATGAGAACCGGACTTTTGAGTGGAAATCGGATCACGTGGATAATGGCGGGAGTAGTTAATTTTAGTTATGTATGTTAATGTATTTAGATAGGATTAATATGTAAGTTATAATTTAAATTTGAATAGTTAGTTAGTTATCTATATATATCTAAAAAGGTTGATGTAAAAATCATTTTTAGAAACTTAAAATAAATTGAGTTGACTTTTGACTTTCTATTTATGTAATCTCAATCAAATTTTGAAAAAAAAAATCGTGAATAGGATTATGTAATTGGTATTCCCGTTAATTAAGTATCAGATCCCATTAATTAAGCAAATCTGTTACGAAAATACACAAATTCCGTTAATTAAGGCATTATATATTTCCATTTTTTTAGGGATGGATATACCTTTAACGTGATAAGATATATACATGTGATTGCATATTTTGTTGTTGCATCCTAACAATCAGGGTATTTAAAATCTATCCAAATACAATCCATAATTATCTTATCACTTTTGTTAATAAAAAATTGTATAAAAGGATATTTACTACCACCATTACAACTCATCATTCACGAGTTCAGAGAAAAAAAAATACAGAGAATAATTTTTCATCGCATATACAATATAATGCTTCCAGGCTGGGGTACACTTGATATATAGTGCTTCCAGACTGGGTACGTTAACAAAAGAAACAAACATTTTTTCGTCTGAGAGCAGTCCGCATTATGTAAACCCATCACGAACGGGAGAGCTATAACGCATTTTTATGATGAACAGGTAATATTTACCTTTGTTATTTCAATTTTATATAATTTAGAAAATTATTTTAATTAATATTTATAACAAACCTTTTTTGCGTCTGAGAGCAGTCCGCATTATTGAAACCCATCACGAACGGGAGAGAGTAGTCCGCATTATTGAAACCCATCACGAACGGGAGAGTTGTAACGCATTTTCATGATGAACAGGTAATATTTACCTTTGTTATTTCAATTTTATATAATTTAGAAAATTATTTTAATTAATATTTATAACAAACCTTTTTTGAGTCTGAGAGCAGTCCGCATTATTGAAACTCATCACGAGCAGGCTGGGGTACACTTGATATATAATGCTTCCAGACTGGGGTACTGGGGTAGGTTAACAAAAGAAACAAACCTTTTTTTGCGTCTGAGAGCAGTCCGCATTATTGAAACCCATCACGAACGGGAGAGCTATAACGCATTTTCATGATGAACAGGTAATATTTACCTTTGTTATTTCAATTTTATATAATTTAGAAAATTATTTTAATTAATATTTATAACAAACATTTTTTGCGTCTGATAGCAGTCCGCATTATTGAAACCCATCACGAACGGGAGAGAGCAGTCGGCATTATTGAAACCCATCACGAACGGGAGAGCTATAACGCATTTTCATGATGAACATGTAATATTTACCTTTGTTATTTCAATTTTATATAATTTAGAAAATTATTTTAGTTAATATTTATAACAAATCTTTTTTGCGTCTGAGAGCAGTCCGCATTATTGAAACTCATTACGAGCCGTCCGCATTATTCAAACCCATCACGAACGGGAGAGCTGTAATGCATTTTCATGATGAACAGGTAATATTTACCTTTATTATTTCAATTTTATATAATTTAGAAAATTATTTTAATTAATATTTATAACAAACCTTTTTTGTGTCTGAGAGCAGTCCGCATTATTGAAACCCATCACGAACGGGAGAGCTGTAACGCATTTTCACGATGAACAGGTAATATTTACCTTTGTTATTCAATTTTATATAATTTAGAAAATTATTTTAATTAATATTTATAAATTTGTATCGTAGGGTGCTTTCATTAAATGCATAATACGTTATCCGAATATGAGAGCAACAAACTTTATATAAACTGAGAGTAGTCTAATTTTTGTAAAATATGTAAACTTTAAACGTGTTTGTTGATATCAAATCCAGTAATCAGAATTAAAGTACTAAAAGTCGGAATATATTAGAGCAAATTACCGACTTCTTAAGAATTACCGATTTCCGAAGATCC